ATCGAAAACATAGTCCAAGGACACACAACAGAATATCATTGACATGTGCAGCATCGAATCCCCTTCGACCGAACCGGGGGAGGGTTCCATTTATTTCGTCCACAACACACACCATACAAGAAGCGAAATGACTTTCCCGGCCCTTTCCTGTTCAGAAGCACCCAACAATAAACAGAAAAACTCGACTGGGAATGGTTCTCACGGCGTTCTGCTGGATCCACCAGGCGTGCCAGCTCTTGTCCGGGTCGTCATCCCCGGCCATCATCCACGACAGCCACCCGTCGAAGTCCTTGATCACGTCCAGCCACTACTCGCCATTGGGGTTAAAGATCACGGGTGACCAAAGCCACGTCACCACCTTTATGTATAAACGTGGGTATATTTTACGGCGGTATCAATACAACTCTTGTGGGAGTACCGGGACCATCATCGTTCACGGGACATGCCTCGAAAGCCGGAGGGCTGCGGGGGAGGAAAAAACACGAGAGACGGTTCAACCACAGTGTTGTTGATCGACTGGTGTGCCCGCTTCCAAGTCTGCTAGCGGTTCGTCACGAGAAGAGGCTTTTCCGTTCGTAGAGATGGACCGCAAAACAGTTGCGATCAATCGCCTTTGGTAAATGCCGAAAATATCTTCGCCGAGGGAACGGCGTCGTCGCCAACAGGTTGCACCACCACGGGCGCCACAACGGTGTTGGACAAGAAAAGGATCAACATATGCATGGCGCCAATGTCACTACAGTACTCGAAAGAATATGCATGGCGCCAATGTCACTACAGTACTCGAAAGAATACCGAAAAAATCGACAGGTGTAAACATAGACGTGACCAAAAATACAAGATAGCACAAAGCAGCCGGCTACCACGCGGGCCCTCACCAGCAGCCAGACCGAAAAGGTCTCGGCAAAGTATTGGAAGCCCGTCTGCTTGGACACGAAATGCCAGTATACCTAAATTTCCATTAACGTCAAGGAGAGGGAGCAGCAGCGCGACAAAGGGGTCAGGCCCAAACTGCGAGGAGATGTGAAACTCCATCGAAACATGCATTTGGCGTCATCGAGCCGTCATGTAAGAGAGCATCGCTCCCAAAACCACTGCCGGTCGGGTCATTGTTCATTCTTTTCCACGCCGCGTGAAAGCAAAAGGGAGTCGATAGCACCAGCATCACAAACAAAACATAGCCGTGAACACAAAACAGCTTACTGTGAGCAGGAGAATTATCAACAACAAAGACACGCTGTCTGCTTCGCGCAACAGCACCAGGCTGCCCTCTCCTACTGCCCCCGAGACAAGCGGGGCCGTAAGCTGCAGCACGACCTTTACACAGGACCATGGACAGTAGAAGAAGTGCTACAAAGAGGCTTGAGCGTGCAAGCAAAGATGCAGGGTAGAAATCTGCGCAGAGGCTGCACAGCCGAGTTGAAACCTTTTCATCTTCGCCCACCCCATATGAGTTGCTTACTATGAGCAGGAGCATTATCTCGAAGGCCGGCGCGAAGTGACTCTGGAGGTAGCGGCAGTACTGCGGCAAGAAGCGGTCGTGCACAATAACGAAGCCCCTCCCGGTCGACATGTACTTCGCCTCCCCCGTCAAGAACGCCTTGTTCACGTCTGATACAGCAGCAGTCACGCCCGAAAACAAGCCGCCAGAGAACCGGGGGGATAGTCAATCAGTAGCCTTTGCGATTATGTTAAGCTTGGTTTTAGCAGGGGGTACCAGGTGGGGTTGGGGGTTAGGACAAACTATAATAAAACCCTCTCTACTAGAACCCTCTCGAAGGCGATCCTAGCCAATAAGTCGAATACGCAGGACAGAGGGAGGCAGTGATCATTCTCTGGTGGCCCACTCACTCTCCCAGCAGCTCCGGTCCCACGATCCGAGCTAGAAATTGGTCGACACGAATGTAGAAACTGCCACTTACGGGGTAGTCAATCGATCACAAGATGGAGAAGAGAGGAAGCAGACAGTGTCTCTTGTGCGAGTGCGATGACGTCCGTGTGAGATCGACGAGGGGGGGGGGGTACCGCAGGTGACACAAGATAGCACACCGCATGGACCGATCTTCGAAACTCGAGCACTCCACAGCAAGGAGAGTGACGGTTCCGACAATGACAGCGTTGGGACCATCTCTCGTCGAGAGCATTCCGAAGATCGAGCTTTGAAAATTGGTCCAGGGGGTGCGATATCTCATGCTACTTCGAATGCCACCTAAGGTAGTCGATCAACCCCCAAGACCGGGAAGAGAGGAAGCAGATCGTGTCTCTCGCGCGGTCCGTGTGATCGTGTGATGGCACGTTGTCATGCTCAGCATAGAACGAAGGGAAGCAACTACATCCGGCCGGGGGGGGGGGCAGGCTGTGACCGAGGACTCCAACCATCGATCAACGAGTGGGTCAAATCTCGAAGAGCGTCGCCGAGAAGCCAAAGCCGAAAATTCCAAAACTACGCCTCCAAAGATGCGCACATTCCTGCTGCGTAGCTCTTCCCGGAACGGAAAAGGAAACGCTAAAAATAGTATGCAAGCAGGACAACCAGGCGAAGCCTCCAGCTCAACGGGGGGGGGGGG